GTTATGCTATGCCCACTAATTGAAACAAAATCTGAGGGTTCGGAAAGTGAAGCTAGTGTCGGCACTCAGTTGGAGCTCCTGATTTCAGCATTTTGGCTGGTGACTCCTATGGGGGAAATCATGCCCACAGTTTGGGAACCCCTGTTCTAGGCTACTAGTCTTGAACCAATCCCATTTAATATATATTATAATATATAAACTCTAAATGTATGTATTTATCCTAAAATCTTATCCTTTCAAATCCGGTGTCTAGGTTTTCCAACGAAGAAGTCACTGGGAATGCGATAGTGATTTTGACTGATCAAGGAGCTTGGTTAAATGCTGGATTGTCAAATAATAAGACTGTTGATTGGGGGGGGAAGAAAATGTATATGATCTTAAAATGGAATCATAGGTCAGGAGGGCAAATGAGAAACCTTAAAAGAATTCAAAGTTGTAATTCTGCTCAGTTGATAATTATGATGAAAGGTAAATGTGGAAAAATGTACAAAAATAAATTATCTCAATGATTTAAATATTGCAACTCAGAGTCATGAATGCTACCTTCTTTGGGGTTACTTTTTTTTTGTATTTGAAGCAAGAAGTATAATTTAACTTTAAGCCAAAAACCTGGCAAATCCTCTTTTTGTCTCCGCTAATTCTTTTTCCTTCTTTAAGTACAATAACTAATATTCTGCAGATTATAATTGTAAAAGAAGGAAACAGAACGTCCCAAAGAGATTGTATTTGTAGATGGTGCTGTCGACATGATTTTACATGACCCTGCGGCCATGTGAAACAAGGTTAAGGGACCTAGTTTTGGAATCATGCATGGGAGGAGAACACATTTTAAAAGCAAAGTTTTCGTAATAAAGGATTTGTAAATTTTGAAGAAATGTAACACATGTCAAAAAGTGAGATCATTACCATGAAAATGATTACAAGTTGATCAATTTAGCTACTTAAACAAAATTCATGCTAGCTGTTCAGTATAGCCTATAGAAAGACATGTCAACTCTGAAACTGCCAAAAAAACTACCATTTGAATTTATTCACCAAGTTTATTGGGAACCAAATTATCCCCCAGTACCCACACCGTAACACACACAGAAATTGCTGGAAAAGCTCAGCAGGCCTGGTAGCATCTGTGAAGAGAAAGCAGAGTTAATGTTTTGACTCGAGTGACCCCTCATCAGAATGAAACGTTAACTCTGATTTCTGTCCGCACATGTTGCCAGAGTTACTGAACTTTTCCAGAAATTTCTATTTTTGTCTCCGATTTACAGCATACACCGTTGTATTGTTCAGTTCCTACACGATAATATTTGTGAAATGTCAGTTCCCGACTGGGAAACAAAAGATCAAGTTGGTGCATAAAGTCAAACAAACTAACTAATGTTGAATTTAAAAAATGCAGTTTGACCAATATTGTCCGTCCTTCCTTTGCTCTCTGCACAACTCCCCTTTGCTTCTTACTCTGACAATGGGGATGTGTAAAATACGGTCTATCAAGTATATGAATGCTTTAAGGAGAGAAAAACAGTTGACGTTTCAAGTTCAGTGTCGTACTTCAGAACAAGCACAGGACCCTGCCATTTGTAATGGTATCAAAATTGCAAATTGTCCATAACATAATACACAGCAAAGAATGCCTAAAATGTTATGGAGGGACAGAGTCTCCAGCAGAAATTTGCCCAGGAGCATAAGCAAGCTTTTTAGAAAGAAAGATATTTTTAAAAGGTAGTGTTGGTCCGACAGAAAGTGAGCCTGGGAATTAATAATGGGAAATAAGGAGATGGCAGATGAATTGAACAGGTACTTTGCATCAGTCTTCACTAACGGGATTTACATAGTATGCTATAAAAAGCTGTAAATCTGGAAAAGGAAGGGACAAAGAAACTAGCAAATTGCACGAGGGAAATAGTGCTGAGCAAATTATTGGAGCTGCGGGTTGACAAGTCCCTCGGTTCTGTTGGACTGTGTTCACCGATCTTGAAAGAATTTCCTAAAAAGGTAGAAACTTCTTTAATTTTCTGAAACTCCCTTGATTAAGGCAAGTTGCTTCAGATTGGAAGGTAATGTAACCGCTTTATTCAAAGGGGAGAAGAAACAGTAGGCAAAAAAAATTACAGACCAGTTATCTTAACATCTATCATGGGAAAGATCTTCATAGCAGTTATTAAACAACTTATACTGGGGCACTTTGACTCTTATTACATTGAATTTTTTCACTTTTATGAAAGGGAAATAAAGTTTAATCAATTTCATAGAATCCCAGAAAGAGGCCATTCAGCCCATTGAGTCTACACCAACCCTCCAAAGAGCATCTTACCCAGACCAGCCCTTTATCTTATCCTCATAATGCCATGTTTTACCATGGCTAATCCACCTAACCTGCCTATCTCCAGACTGTGGAAGGAAACTAGAGCACCCAGAGGAAACACAGGGCATTGTCTGCATGAAGTTTGTACAGTTATCCGATGCTGGAATAGAACCTGGGTCCCTGGCGCTGAGGTAGTAGCGCTAACCGCTGAGCCATCGTGCCAGTAATTTATCAGAGTTCTTTGAGGAAATAGCACAGGCTGTGGGTAAAGGGAAACTGGTGAACATACTTGGATTGTTTGGATTTCTAGGAGGCATTTAATAAAGTACCACATCCAGGGTTATTGCAGAAAGTAAAATCTCGGGGTATATGGCAGCATAAATGCATAGATTGAAAATAGACTAGCTAGTGGGAAGCAGTAAGTAGAACTGGGTCACTTCCTGTTTGTGAAGGTGCACCAAGTAATGTACCGCAGGGATCCGTGCCAAGTCCTGAATCCTTTATAAGTTCAGCTACTGACTTGGGTGAATGGACCGAAAGTATTGATGCTAAGTTTGCTCACAACACAAAGATCAGAGGAGAGAAAGTTGTGAAGCAGATATGAAAAAGCTACGAATGGATATAGATTAAGTGACTTGAAAAAGAACCGGCAAATGGAGGATAATGAGTGAAAATGTGAAATTGTCCATTTTGGCTGGAAGAATAAGTGTTGAGAGGTTGCATAACTCTGATATACAGAGGCATTTGACTGTCCTAGTGCATGAGTTGCAAAATGCTATTAGCTGCAGAAAGTAATTAGGAAAGTTAAATGTTCTTGTTTATTGTGAGTGGAATTGAATACAGCAGTAGGAAGATTGTACTTGAATTATACAGAGCATTAGTGAGATCACATGGAGAGCTGTGTGCTGTTCTGGTCACCACACCACCGGAAGGATGTGATTGCACTGGAGACAGTGCATTACTATGATCTTGTTCAGCCTGGACTAAGTTACGTAGGGAGATTTTTGTCTCTGGTTGTTTCTTTTTGAGACCAGAGAAGGCCACGGGGGCGTCTTTGCTGAGGGGCGTAGACAGGGCATATAGGGCACAACCTTTCCCTGCAGTCAGAGTCAGTAAATGGGAGCACAGTTTCAAGATGAGGAGCAGGGGATTTGAGGGGGAGAAAGAAAATAACCCAGAGGGTTGACAGCATCTGGAACTTGCTGCCTAAAAATGTGGTAGAGGCAAAAACCCTCAAGATATTTAAGAAGTATTTTGATGAACACTTCAAACAAAGTTACAGGCGAAATCTGAATAATTGGTTTCAAATAGATGGATAAATTAATGACCAGTGTGGGCACGAAGGACTTGAGGGTCTTTTTCTGTGGTGAAAAATCTGACTAAGACTCTTGGTCCCCTTAAAGGAAGGATGTAAATGCATTAGAAGCAGATCAGAGAAGGTTCACTCGGCAGATATGGGTTCAAATTGTGAAGAAAGCTTGGCTAGGCTAGGCTAGGTTTGTTTATACTTGAGGCATAGGTGATGTAATTGATCCTGGAATCTTCAGAGTGTTGTGATGATGCTATAGCTTTACATGATTTTTTTAAATACAAAGAGAAACTGAGACAGAAGTACCGAGCAGTCTGTTCCAAGCCAATAAAGTAAGCAGCTTGAGCGCCTATGGGGTTTGTTTTTATAGTTAGAACAGTAGAAGCAGCATGAATGGGTGGACTCAGGCTCTCACAGAATCAAGGTTTTCGTTTATCCTTCAGCATTTGGCATTTTGAAGCGGTCATACCTCTGTCCCTGCTACAGCAAAACAGTTGAGTTCTCTTTTTCTGCCAGAATTTTCTGTTGCTGTGCTTTCCTCCTGGATAGGAGAAACCTTTTATATGTGAGAGTCTGTTTTAATGAATTTGTCTTTGCCAAGGGTATGTTTATGGGACGTCACTATATTGGAACAGTTGCTTTAGTAGCTAAATAATCTATTATGTTATGTTTTCCAAAGTTAAAATTGGACCATTTCTTCTTTGTTTGTATTTTAATTATAGATTAAGAATAAAGTGTGTTTTGCTTAAAATTGTTTGGTGTAACCAATCAAATTACATCTGGAGCACAGCACCTTACACTCGCCTTTAAATAAGATAAAAGCTGGGGTCCAGACCGATCTCCTGGATGTTTTTGAAGGGGGTTTGGTCTGGTCCATAACAGGGTGAATGTGGAGATGGTATTTTATCTTCTAGGAGAATTTAGAACTGAGGTGTTACTCTCCCTTTCATCCCAGGACATCACTAGAAACCTGAATCTTTCCTCAGATTGTCATGTTTGGAGCTCTTCCTCAAAAGGTGGTAGAGCAGAATCTTTAAATGAGGCTGTTGACTTGCTCACTGAGCTGGCTTGTTCTTGTTCAGAAGCCAGCTCGGCGAGCAAGTCAACCACCTCACTCAACCTGAGCTACAGATCTTTGCCAAAACTTTGAGAATCTTTAAATATATTTCGAACAGTTTTGATAAATTCTTAAGAGGATGATGGGTTACAAATGCTATGCAGAAATGTGGAGTAATCTGATCAGATGTAGTCCTATTAAATGTTAGAACAGAATGAAGAAGCTGAGTGGCCTATTTCATGCTTCTGATTTGTATGATGGTATCTCTGGAACTTATCTTGAATTAATTTTAAAATTATTTGCAGAGGCATTTTGACTCTTTGTTTTTAAAGGCAGTTGCGGCAAAGCTGGACCTTCCTGATGATCTGGTTGGATACTTCAGTCTTTTTCTTATCCGGGAAGGAAGTGATAATAGTTGCTCTTGTAAGTTTATGGATTAAATTGCCTGTCTGATTTTATATCCACACATTGTTCCCTTCAGTTAAATCTTTTACAGTGTAAACTATCAACCTAAACTTGCATCCATATATTTAGTTGGAAAATCTTGGTCCTGATTGACTTTTCATTTCTGTTAGAACTGAAAATGAATCTTGAGCAAAAACTGCTAAATTGTGGGTAATGAACTTCTCTGATTTCTACTGTTGCTATTTTTAGTTCTACTTCTTCCTTTTCATGGCCATGTCATAGAAATTGGTGATACTCTTGATGGTGATACTCTACCATCTTGGAAATTGTTGAAGTGTAAGCCAGATGATTCTTTGTAAGAAGCGACATCCAAGATTGCATGTACACTTAGTGGCTAGGTTTTGAAGACTCCGAAGCGTGTTTGCATGTTTTCTTGACTTTCCTTGGTGTGATTGGCGAGCCCAAGAAAACAAGGAAATTAACTCTTTGCAAAAAGTCCTGACTGCCCATAATTCTGCCAGAGAATTAACTAGTCTTACATCTGTTGCAAAATAAAGAGAACTAACAATTATAAATGTGTTGACGAAGACAGTAATTAGCATTCTAGCATATCCGCTCTTTGTAGATTACATTGCAGTTCAGATTGTATCCTTTTCCTGTCAGTTCTACAGGCCCGTCATGACATGATTTTGAGGTGTTTATTTTTGAGAACAGGTGCTCAGTATATATTTTTTTAAATCCTAGATTGAAGGATTGAGTGTCAGCAATGCTGCAAAAATCAGTATGCCGAATAGGAAATAGTCATAGAGTTGTACAGCTCAGAAACAGACCCTTCGGCCTAACTCCTCTCTGCTGACCTGGTTTCCTAAGCTGAGCAAGTCCTATTTGCCTGTGTTTGGCCCTTTATCACTCTGAACCTTTTCTGTCCATGTACTGTACAAATGTCTTTTTAACCGTTATAATTGTACTTGCCTCCATCACTTCCTCTGGCAGTTTATTCCATATAAGCAACATCCTCTCTGTGAAAAATGTTGCCCCTCTTGTCCCTTTTTAAATTTTTCCGCTCTGATCTTAAGGTCAAAGCTAGCGGTCATAGGTTTCCCTACCCTGGAGAAAAGACCTTGGCTATTCACCAATGTATGCCCCTCATGATTTTATACAGCTTTCTAAGATCACCCCCTCAGCCCCTACACTCCAAGGAAAGAGTCACCCAGATCTATTGGGCAGATATTCTTAAAATCAGGTGGATCAAAGCTCTAATGACTTATGGGTGGAAAAACTGTTCCAAACTTTATCATGTATTTTGAGTGCCAAAATACCCTTAAAACCTAAATTGCTTCCCTGAAGTACATAAAGCATAAGAGGTGCAACAGGTGTAGGCCATTTGACCTCTCATGCCTGCCCTGCCATTCAATAAGATCACCACCTGATCTGCCCCAAGCCTCAACTCCTTTTTCATCGTAGCCCTCATGTCTCAAATATTTCAGGAATTTATCCATGTCCCTCATACAAGTGACGAACAAAAGGCCTTGTGAGCCTGCTTCACATTCAGTAAGATCATGGCTGATCTGATTTTTAACCTCACCTCTGCAATCCCCAATATTCTTTCATCCCTTTGGTAATGAAGAATCTACCTACCTCTGCCTTAAAATATTTAATGATTCTGCATCCACTGCTGCTTAAAGAAGGGAATTCCAAAGGCAGAAAAGTTTCTTCAACTCCATTTTAAATGGATATCCTCTTATTTTTAAATGGTGGCTCCTACTTCTATATTCTCTCACAAGAGGTCACATCCTTTGAACATCCACCTCGTCAAGTCCCTTCAGGATCTTGTGTTTCGATTAAATCACCTCCTACCTCTTCTAAACTCCAGGGGATATAGGCCTAGTCTATCTAGTCTTTCCTCACAAAGTGGCCACCTCTAAATGTTTTGTGATCTTTGGGATTGAGAATCCCATATGTTCACTGTATTATGGGAGAAGAAATTCCTTTGCGTCTCATTTTTAAATTAATGTCACCTATTTGACTTTGTGTTTTTCAAGATTCCCCCACTAGTGGAAAAGTTCTCAAAAGTTCTCTCTCTGATAAACCTTCTCTGAACCTTCTATGTTTCAGCAAGATCACTGCTCATTCTTCTAAACTAATGAATAAAGATCACACTTGTTTATCTGTTCTTGATAAGTCAACTGTTATTTCCAGATATCTGCCTAGTGAATCTGTTCTGAATCCCTCCAATGTGTGTACATCCTTTCTTAAAAAGAGGAATCAAGACTGTACAAAGTACTTCAAATGTGACCTCACCAACTCCCCATGTCGTTGTTATAAGACTTTGCTATTTTAAATTTCAAGCCCTGAGCTTTTGAGGCCAAAATTCCATTTGTTACCTGAATTACTTGATGCACCTGCATGTTAACTTTGCATTTCATTCACAGTAATATCCTGTCTCTCTGCTGCAATTTTTTTGGAATCTCCCTCTTTTTAAATAATAGCCTACCTTTTGATTATTCTTGCCAAGGTGCACGACTTTATACCTTGCATTAAACTTCATCTCCCAAGTTTTTGCCCAATCACTCAACTTATCTATACTCCTTGCAGATTCCTTCTGTCCTCATCATTGCATGCCCTCCCACTTATTTTTATATCATCAAATTTTGCCTGCATTACACTCTGCCTCTCCTCTCAGTTATTGATATAGGTGGTAGATAATTGAGGTCCTAGAACTGATCCTTGCGGCACTCCACTAGTTGCACCTTTCCAACCTAAAGTTGATCGATTATTCCAGACTTGGTCATCTGTCTTATCCAACCTTCAATCCATGTACCTATATTAACCCTACTACATTGAGCTACTATCTTAATGAGTCATAGAGATGTACAGCATGGAAATAGACCCTTCGGTCCAACTCATCCATGCCGACCAGATATCCTAGATAAATCCAGTCCCATTTACCAGCATTTGGCCGATATTCCTCTAAACCCCTCCTATGCACATACCCATCCACATACCCTTCTAAATGTTATAATTGTACCAGCCTCCGCCACCACTTCCTCTGGCAGTTTATTCCGTACATGCACCTCCCTCTCTGTGGAAAAAGTTGCCCCTTAGGTCCCTTTTAAGTTTTTTCCCCTCTCTCCTTCACCCTATCCCCTCTAGTTTTGGACTCACCCACCCCAGGGAAAAGACCTTGTCTATTTACCCTATTCATGCCCCTCACGATTTTATAAACCTCAATAAGGTCACCTCTCCGCCTCTGATGCTCCAGTGAAAATAGCCCCAGCCTATTCAGCCTCTCCCCATTGCTCAAACCCTCCAACACTGGCAACATTCTTGTAAATCTTTTCTGAACCCTTTCAAGTTTCAGAACATTATTCTATAGAAGGGAGACAAGCATTGTGAGATAATCTTTTATGGCACCTTATTGAATGCCTTCCGGAAATGGAAATACACTAGGTGTACTAGTTTCCCTGTATCAACATGTTATATCATCAAAGAACTATCAAATTTGGCAAACATGATTTCCCTTTTACACAACCACATTGACTGTTTGATTGCGTTTAGCTTTTCTAAATGCTGTTTCTTCCTTAATGGATTCTAGCATTTTCCCAACAAGAGATGTTAGGCTAACTAGCCAATAATTTCCTGCTATTTGTCTCCCTGTCTCCCTCCCTCTTCTTGAAAATGGGTGTCACGTTAATGGTTTTCCAATCCACTAAAACGTTTCTGGAATCCAGTGAGTTCTGGAATATTTTAACCAATGCTCTCATTTTTTTTGCAGCCAATACCTTCCCAACCCTTTGCAGGTTATTAGGTCTTGGTGACTTATCTGACTTTAGTTTGTCAGTACTTTGTCCCTTGTGACAGAGATTGTGTTTTTGCATTAACACTGTGCTTACCTGTTGTTTTTGGGACGTTCATAGTGTCCTCAACAGTGAAGTATGATGCAATATCTTGGTTTAAATTATCATTTCCATTTCCTGTTGTTAAATCCCCAGTTTCATCCTTTGAGGGTCCCACACGTAGTTTACCTATTTGATCTTTGTATATACCCATAGAAGCTCTTGGTGTGTTTTCATATTTGCCCATTTATTTTTAAAACCAATTTTATCTTTTTAATTAGCTTTCTAGTCATCCACTCTTGATTTCTAACAAAAAAAAACCTCTAGCTATCATTAGTTTTGCCACTTTGCGTGCCCTAGTTGATCTGAATGAGTAAACTGCACCTGATTCAGCATGATCACTGGGCATAGTGCAACTCAAATGGTGAGTTGATGCTAAATGTGTCTCTTTCATGCACTCCTTCATTTCAGCGTACCTGGTGACTGCTTGCCTGCGCCCATATCTCCTTCCCTCCTATCCCTTTATTTCTTTCCTCCAACCCCATCTTGTCTTTTAATCTTTTCTCTGTCACTTTTTTTTTATTTAACTGGTGCAAGGCAAAATTAAGTGGTGACATAGGCAACTGGAAAAGAAGCATCAATGTATAATCTGAAAGAAATACTCCATGATGTTTATTTTCATATTGATCGAGATTTTCAACCCTTACTAATTTCAACTTTATGAATTGTTTTGTTACTCTTCAGTTGTACGCAAGCTGCAGGAGTTTGAACTGCCATATATTTCGGTCACAAGTTTGAAAAACACAGAATATAGAATTGTGCTGCGAAAGAGGTAATAAATTAATGTTATATTTTGAATTATTTCTTGATGCTTTTTCCTGTATTTTGTTATTTAGTAAATTACTGCTTTCTGTTGCAGTGGTGCATTTTGTTCTGATTTGATTTAGAACATTACTGCAGTGAGAGTTTGGTTAAACGGTGAGCACTGATTGTCTTTACGTTTAGTTATCTGTTTAATAAAAGGAAAGAAAGTTACCAAATCAGATCAAGAATTCTGTAACCCTTAAACGCTAGTTTTAAGATGTTGTTTGTACTAACAGGTAATAAGTATGCTGCTGATCTTGCACTATAGAATGTTTCAGATATGTAATGTGAATCCTTTTAGTTTTCTTGGTGAAATAGTAGTTATTATTTTTATAAACAATGTTTTGTTTTGCTGTTAAACTCTTCAGATGAATCTTTTTACCTTTTTCTTAAATTGAGACCTTGTTTATTGTTTTAATACTTTTATCCTACTTTAAAAATAAGAGATTACATTTAGATGATCAATTTCTTTAGTTGCTGAAAAATTTCTTGCTTCTCTTGCCAAACATAATTCCGAGTAAGTAGGGAAAGGAGAATTTTCAATGAATTGGGCATCACCGCTTGGAATATCAGTGAGAGTAATTCATAGCCATCCTTGTGATTTAAACATTGTTTAAAGTCATGCCCATTGACTACCTTGCACAGAGTCAATTCATTTTGTGTTCTGTTTTATCAAGTTATCATTTAACATGTTCATCTCGTTTCTTAATGAGCTTGTTTTTGCTTTAAATCTAGTCTGCCTATATACTAGCATGTGTGAATGATTTGTTGAGGTTTTTATTTTCTCTGGTAGTATATTCCTAATGTATCTGCCACTTTGGCTTCTGTTTAAAAATTGACACTGAAGTGCTTGTAGATGGTACATACTCCTGACACTGCACATTGGTGAAGGGAGTGTTTGTTGAAGGTCATGAGTGGGGTTCTAATCAAGAGGGCTGCTTTGTCCTGGATGGTGTTGCAGTGCTTGAGTGCTAGAGCTGCCCTCGTCCAGGCAACTGGGGAGTATTCCTGACTTGCGCCTTGTAGATGATGGGTAGGCATCCGAGAGACTGGAGGTGAGTTACTCATTGCAGGGTTCCTAACTTCTGCGCTGCTCTTGTAGCCACAATATTTACATGGCAATCCAGTTCAGTTTCTGATCAGTAGAAACCCTCAGGATGTTGCTAAGAGATTTAGCAATGTTAATGCTATTGAACACTAAAGAATAATGATTAGGTTCTCACTTGTTGAAGATTGCGTGAATGTGACACATTTTATTTGCCATTTATCAACCCAAGACTGGATATTGTGCAGGTTTTGTTCTGTTTGGACACAGGCTGTTTCTGTATCTGAGGGGTAACTATGGTATTACATGTTGTGCAAACATCAACAAACATCTCCACTTCTGACTTCACGATGGAAGGACTGTCATTGAAGTAGCTGAGGATGGTTGAGCCTAGGAAACTATCCTGACTAACTCCTTCAGTGATGTCCTGGGACTTAAATGATTGACCTCCAACAACCACCACCAAGTTCCTTTGTGCTCAGTATAATGCCTTGTTATTGAGGCAGTCATTGTTCTCTTGTCTCAGGAATTTAGCTCTTTTACTGTATTTGGACCGGGGCTGCTATGGGATCTACAGCAGAAAGGTTCTTTTGAAACTCAAATTGAATGTCATGAGTAGACGATTGCTGACCGATGCCACTGAAGCTCTGTCAGCAACTGCTTCCAGCACTTTGATCAAGAATAGGCCGACTGAGTAGTGATTGACATGGGTTGGATTTGACCTGGTTTCTGTGTAGGTACCAATGTCTGTAGGTATAATGGAACAGCTTGGCTAGAGGCACTGCTATTTAGGAGCACATCTTCAGCACTACTGTTATGTTGCCAGAGCCCATAAGCTTTGCAGTATCCAATGCTATCAATTGTTTCTTAATATCACAAGTAAATTTGGCTAAAGATTGGTATCCGTGTTACTGGGGACCTTCGAGAGGCTGAGAAGGATTCATCCCTGTAACACTTCTGTCTGATGCTAGATGCAGCACTTCATGTGTCCGGCTCTTGCATTGTTGAGGCTGGGAATATTTGTGGATCTGCCTCTTGCTAATTTAACTGTCCGCCACCATCCATGACTGGCGGCACCAAGATTACAGAGCTTTGATCAGATCAGTTGCTAATGAGATTGGCTTAACCTTGTCTATTGCATTCTGCTTCTGCTGTTTCCCATGCATAGTCCTGTGTAGTTTCACCGAAATGACATTTCTAGATATGCTTAGTGCTGCTTCTGGCCCTTCTGCCATTCTGCACTCTCCATTGAGTTAAGGTTTTTCCCATGTCTTGGTAGTAATGGTGCACTGGAGGGAATAATCCCAAGCTGTGAAGTTAGCATGGTGCTGCTACTCATCCACAGCACTGCATCAGTTCCCAGTTTTGAGTTGTTTGATCTGTTTGAAACTGTTCCAGTTGGTACAGTGATAGTGCTGCACAATATGATGGAGGGTATCCTCAATACGATGATGGGGATTTGTCTCCAAAGGACTTAGTTTCATGGACAGACACATCTGCAACGGTTGATGGCGAGAATCAGGTTAAGCAAGTTTTTCTTTTGTTTTTCTTGCTGCCTTCAAGAGACCTGGTCTAGTAGTTGTATACTTTATGACTCGTCCTGCTCAGTCAGTAGCGGTGCTGCTAAGCTGCTGTCTGTGGTACATATTGAAGTTCTCTACATCCTATACCCTTGTCTAGCAATATGTTTTCTCCAAATAGTGTTCAACATTGGAAAGTACTGATTCAGCTGAAGTGGGAACCGGTAGGTGATAAGCAGTAAGAGGCTTCCTTGTCAATATTTGATCTGATGCCTAGAAACCTCTTCAAGTCTAGTGTCAGTGTTGTGTTCCCAACTACTTAACTGAATGTCACTGCACCGCCACTACCAGTGATTCTGATTTGCTAGTGGGCCAGGACGTGCGCAGGCATGGTGATGGTGGTGTCTGGGACACAATGAAATATGATAGCATAATAATGTCAGGTAGCTGTCCCAATTTCAGCAGAAGCCTGCAGATGTTGAGAGTTAGGACTTTGCAGTGTCAACAAGCTGGTTTTGCCTGTAATTTCCAGTGGCTTGGTTAACGCTAGTTGCTCCATCCAGTCTCATTCCTTTCTTCAGACTTTGTAGTGGTTTGATTCAACAAGGCATTGAAGAGCCAACTTCACAGGGAGTCTGATTTATGCAAGCCAGACATGCAGGTAACGATGGCACATTTCCTTCCCCAAAGAGCATTAGCGAAATGACGCCCAACACTATTCTGAGGGTCACCATTAAAGTTGCTTTTAATTTCAATTTATTAATTTCATGTTTCACATTCTGCCATGATGTAATTTGGACCCATATCTGTCTTTGGCAGTAACCTGGATCTTTGTTACTATTCCAGTAACATTACCGCCAGTGCTAAAGCTTTTTATTCTTTTCAGAGATGATCTTAGAAATGTGAGTGCCTTTCTTCTGTGTAATGACTCAATTACACTCAAGTTGGTGATGGAATATGGATGTTTTCTTTCTGTTTTTAATTCAGTTGTCTGTATTTAATACCTGAGACCTGCATCGACTGCAATAATTTTTGAAAAGGGGCAGAAGCACTGACTTAAAATTGTTTCAGCAATAATTTGACCAGCAAGTTGGTCAAGTTTCACTCAGTGATCATGAGGTAAACGAAGATAGTCTGAAACAAAATTAACATTTCAGCAAAAGACACAAGTCAACTGTAATTACTTTGTCTGCTATTTTGGTGGCTCACATGCTGGATAGCATAGCTTCAAATCAGCTGTCAAATTTGGCTAGGAAGAGTTTTTTTGGCAATTGCAAATATATACTTGTCTACAATAATGTTCCTTTTATATGAAATACCGAGCAACATTAGTGCATATTTATGGAATATAAACAAAGTGCTGATATACTCAGGTCTGGTGGCATCTGTTAATGGAGAAATTGTTTAACATTTCCATTTTGTAGCCCTTTAACACAAGTACTTCTGAATTAAAAACATACTGCAGGTACTCAGCTCACAGACCTGAAACATTAACTCTGTTTCTCTCCACAGTTGCTGTCTGACCTTAGTCAGCCTTTTCAATGTTTAATTTCAAATTGCAGCATCCACAGTATTTTGCTTTTATAGGGGCAGTGACAGCCTAGTGGTATTATCACAGTTAATCTAGACCCCAGGTGGTAGTGTGGGGAAGGTAGATGGTGGAATTCAAATTCAATAAAAATCTGGAATGAAGAGTCTAACGATGACCTTTAAATCCATCGTCGATTGTTTGAAAAACCATCTGTTGCACTGATGTCCTTTTGGGGAAAGAAACTGCTATCCTTACCTGATCTGGCCTATCTGTGACTTCAACCCACAGCAATGTGGTTGACTTGTAACTACCCTCTGGGCAATTAGTGATGGGCAATAAATGCTGACTTTGCCAGCGATGTCCACATCCCATGAATGAACAAAAAAGTTTATGGAACTGGTAACTTTTTGACTATTGTCCAATTATCTTAAAATCCTACAGCACATTGTGCCTAATCCAACTTGCATTTAGTTCAAACCTATCAGGGGAAAAAAAAACATCAATTTGTGACGGCACACATGCAAATAATTACCTTGTACTGATAACCATGTTTTGTTTACAGCTATTGGGACACTGCTTATGACGATGATGTTATGGAAAATCGGGTTGGCTTGAATCTATTATATGCTCAGGTAGGAGGAGTCTTAGTTGCCAAGTATTTGATGCAACTCAAGCATTGTAATCAGATGGAAGTTTTTTCAATGTTCATTTGGTTTTCATTTTGTTTTTCAGTTAGTGTATCAAAATTAATAACTCCAAGAGTTGCAGAAGAATGTTTTCCTTTCCTTTGCTTTTTTAATTGAAATATTCTATCATTTCTCCTCTTTGCTTCCTTCATTTTTTAATAAATCCTACATTTTTATCTTACCTCACATTTTACTTGACGAAATCTGTTTTATTAGAAAGAATAATCATAAATATATTTTCTTAATCTAAACTATTTTGAACATTCCTGACCATTTACTCTAGCACCAAATGATGGAGAAGTTCCATTTTTAAAATGAAAGAAGCAGAAGAATGGCCTATGGAGTAGTCTGAATAGTTCACTACTTGAGCGTAAACATCATTGTAGGATTTCCTTCTACAAGATGTTATATTCATTATGTCATCTTTTAAATTGAAGACAGTTAGGACTTGCTGTGCATACAGAGACATAATAGAGGTTTTAAATGTCTGCTTTGCATCGACGACAGGGTTGATAAAGATAAACTATTTCAATTGGTTGGTGATTCTAGAGCTAGGGAACACTGCCTGAGAATTAGGGCCAGACCATTCAGGAGAGTTATCCAGAAGCAGTTCTGTACACAGGATGGTCAACGCTTGGAACTCTTCCACAAACAACAGTGGATACTGGATCACTTGGTAATTTTAAATGAGGTCAATAAATTTTTTGTTGTGCAAAAATATCAAGGGATATAGACCAAAGGCAGGTATACAGAATGAAGTCACAGATCAGTCATAATTTCATTGGTGGAATAGGCTCAAGTGCTGAATGGCTTACTTGTGTTCCTATGTTCCAGTGCATTGTTAAATAGTGGCAGAATGACTAAAACGATTCTTTCATGTATGATCACAAAGTATCATAACCTAGAGTTGTATCTCCATGCTGTTTGTGGGATCTTGATGTGCTCAAATGAGCTACTGTATTTTCCTACATTATTATAGAGATTGTTAGTTAGAATTGTTAGAAATTTAGTTATGAAATGCTTTGGGATGTCATGTAATAAATTCTCTTTTTATTCCATTGTTCAGAATCACCTGTTATAATTTGTCCCAAGTTGCACTGTAAAATACATTTTTATAAGCACATCCACAATACATTCAACTGAGGTTTCTTGTTCAGGTGATTAACATCTTCAAGGCACAGATGTGAATTCCATATTTTTATGGGGTGAGACGATGATGTGAAATAAATGGCCATTTGATTAAAAATTTCTCATGTCATATGTTTACAATTGTCTACCTTCATGATCCTTCCTCAGTGAAAGGTCCTGCTGGAGGCATGCATCCACATTACTGCTATCTTGATAATGCATGTCAACTACATTTTCAAAAGCTGGTTTTTACTCACTGAACTAATTCCTTTGTCATAGACTGTGGCTGATATTGAACGAGGGTGGATCCTGGTCAATAAGGAGCAACACCGACAGCTGAAATCACTTCAAGAAAAAGGCTCCAAAAAAGAGGTGAGGACTCTGGTATGAAGAGTGAACACAGAGTGATCAGTACAGAAGGAAAGCTGTTTTTGAAAACCAGCATTTATTCTCAATTTCTTAATTTCCCCATGCCATTTTAACAATTTTTGATGCATAATTTCATTATGATGTAGGTGGACAGAGGATACTGTGAAAATATTTTAGCTCCACAGTGAAAAATAGAAATTTGCAATTATGGCACTTAATTGTAGCTTTGAAATAAGCTTGACAGTATTTCTGGAAGATCTCACTGTGACATAATCAACATTGATAAAATCACAGAAGTATGTGTTTATTAAGTATTTCATGTAAATTCACTAACTGCAAAATAGCTTTTTATAAGTTTGCCAAATACATGTGGAAATCATTTCTTCTGATTGGGCAGTGTTCCATCCTATATTATTCAAATTCCAATTCAGCTATTTAATAAATACTATTCCTCCTGTTCTCACCTGTCTGTGCTGGCTCCCTGTCGTCCGATGCGTAATCTAAATTTCTCATCCAGTTGCTCAAAAGCAAAGTTTTCAGTTGCCTAAACCCCACCTGGATAATCACTTTTGAAACCTTTCTGCCTCTTTTTTTTTTTCTCCCTCCATTGAAACCTTTTCAATCAACCTTTTTATTGAAAAATTTGCTTTGACTTGGCATCTTTTCCTTTTTAAACATTCTCTACCTCTCACGTCAGTTATTTCTACCCCTTTTACTAAGTTCATGGGATAGTTTTTATCTGTTGTGGTGAAGTTACGGCATTCTATGATGGACTTGCTGTCTGAGCAATTAGACTATTGTGAACTGATCAGAGTGTTGACATTGATATGTAAGGGGAAAGTCATATCAAAACTATTCTAGTTCAATCTCCTCTTCAGCATTAGTTGTTTTTGTTTCAACTTAACTTTCAGTTCCACTTGCATTTCTACACAAGTTCCCCACATGTGACAGGATTTTGAGGATTCTTCCTAGGTCTAAACAAAGTTTGCCATTATCTCTCATAAATTTACTTTGATTCTCCTCAATTTTGATGCTATTCTGAGCAGCACACAATACTTAATGGTCCTTGTTGCCATGCAAAAATTCTAACTTCTTTCTAGCCAAAATGTGATCCCCATCCCATATTGCAAGCATAGACGTCACTGCCATCTGAAATTTATGCTGAAGTTGAAGCAACTTTTGTGCAAAAAGTGCACAAATGAAACCCAAATAAGAAGAAAATGAGCCAGCAATCTATCCCCATGGCAAAGTGCCACATCTAGGATGTCCCAGATACAGTAAAACTATTTTACTTCAAAACATCCCTCCAATTTGGGCGGCAAGGTGGCTCAGTGCTTAGCACTGCTGCCTCACAGCGCCAGGGGCCTGGGTTCAATTCCACCCTCGGGCAACTGTCTGAGTGGAGTTTGCACGTTCTCCCCGTGTCTAAGTGGGTTTCCTCCAGGTGCTCTGGTTTTCTCCCAAAGTCCAAAGATCTGCAGGGTAGGTGGATTGACTATGCTAAATTGCCCATAGTGTCCAGGGATATTTAGGTTACGTGGCTTAGACGTGGGGGAATGAGTCAGGGTGGGATGCTCTTCGGAGGGGCCTGTTTCCACACTGTAGGGATTCTATGATGAATTTTGGGACCCAGATGAATAACTTGTATTTCTGGCTGCAGTCTTACCAGAGTCTGTCTCCGTTGTGAAGCCAAGAATTGACTATCTGTTTGTTTTCACACCTCCAACTTTAAACCTTTTTAAGTAAACATGGACCAACTTTTGAGTTGTAGTTATTTTAAAGGTATTTGCCAAAAACTTCAGCCAGTGTGTATCATTTGTTTTTGTAATTAAAAACTTAATTCCTAAAAATAAAGTTGCACTCAAACACAAATGATAAAATGAGACACTTGTAACAATGCATAGTAATTATTTCCTCTGGTGGATTTGCACAGTATATATGAACTACGCTATTTAAGTCTGAAATTTTATTGGTGACTATTTTTAGATTTATGACCGTGAGTTCTAGTCTTACCCACAAGTGGAATTTTTTTGTTACTATATCGAGCCCTTTCTTTAATCTTAAAAGGACTCTACTTGGCCTTCCTTCACATCTGTTTCTTTAGCTTTGTAGAAACAGAAGGCTATCAGAAATTGCTGATGGGGGTAACCTCTTCAATTTTTATATAATGATTATGGATTTCTGTTGCACCCTTGCTAGTATTTTTAACAGAATATGTAGATGTGAACTGCATAGTACTTCAACTGTGACCCAACCAATGTTTCAAAGGTGTTTTTCGCAGCCTTTCTGCTTTTCAATTCTGTTTTGAAATAAACTCCCATGCTTTCCTTGCTGCTTCAATGATCTTGTCAACCCAGGTCACTACTTTGATTTATTTATCTGTCCTTTTGGAATTATCTGCTCCTGTACTCCATGTATACTATTTCCTGATGAGTATGTAGCCTCTGAATTGCTACCAAATTGTTTTACCTGTTGAGTTATCTGTAATTTTGCAATTAAATCCCCATTCTGCAAGTTTTGTTCATTTATTCCCCTCTTTTTGAAATGGCTGTTATGAGGGGACATAATTTTAAGGTGATTGGAGGAAGGTATAGGGGAGATGTCAGAGGTAGGTTCTTCACACAGGGTGGTGGGCGTGTGGAATGCGCTGCTGGCAGTGGTAGTGGAGTCAGATACTTTAGAGACTTTCAAGTGACTCTTGGATAGGCACATGGAGGATAGTAAAATGTAGGGTATGCAGGGTAGATTGATCTTATTAGGATAATAGGTCAGCACAACATCGTGGGCTGAAGGGCCTGTACTGGTCTATGTTCTTTGTTCTTTATTGCAGTCCTCTTCATTAACGACACCCCCAATCTGGTGACTTTCTATTCCTGAGATCATCACATTTTGTGCAGATATTGAACAACCGTGCTCCAGTTACTGATCCATGTGGGACACCACTTCCTACCTTGCTACTGATCTGAATCTATCTTTAAACTCCGTGGTGTGTAGTCAGCTTGCCGTTATTCTGCTTAATACCTTTTATGTAAGAAATCCTCAGTCACCTTTCCCCCAACACTTATGTAAGGATGCTATCAATTTGGACAGAAGTTTTATCCTCTGTAAACTTGATTCATTCAAACCACACCCCTTTTCGATCTTAGCATAATTTTATTTCTTTGATCTCATTAATGTCTCCTACCGTATTCCTTATCTTGGTATATTGGGGTAAAGTATGTAATATTTCTACCATTGCCTGTACATTTTGTGTATTCCTTATCCTGATTTTCCTCTTATTGGTGTCAGTTGGATACTTCACTATTTCCCTTCTTTCCGTGCCTGTTCCTGGTCTTTTTGTGCATAAATGCATGTATTTTTGAAGCACAAGCATTAAAAGCTTTGATACGAGGTTACCTTATTCTGTTCTTTCCTATTTCATGAATACTTGCTTAGTCATAAAGATATTATAGTTGGCAATTGATAGGCTCATTTTGATGGAACAGAATTAAAGCCCAGTGAAAATAGGTTTTGCATAACAGCCTTGTATGTCATCTTAATACCATATCGTGACGAATATTTGATGTACATCTACTTATAAACTTTTCAAGTACGTGTTTCAAATTATTTAGATGTTGTCGGTATTCCCTTAATTTAGTATGATGAACAGTAAATTGGTTACCAGCAGCCTTTTGTAAATGTTAGAATCTACACTCAGTCATTTGAAAATTGTACATATGAACTTGAAAGTTAATCTTTTTGATTAACTTCACTGTTGAATGAAGCAAAAAATGACAGTGTGCTCTGTTGGTGGCAGTTTTAAAAGATTACATTTGTTGAATAGTAGTGACATTCAAGATAGAGCCCATGTTTTTGTGGTTCTGTATTAAACATATTTTTTTTGCTGCTTCTCCACACTAGTTTCAATCTGTTTTGCACTTCAGTCTCCTTGCACTTGTGATTAAATTTGCTGCTGTTTGTTGTTGGAGCTACACTCGTCCAGGCAAATGGGGAATATTTCATCACACTTTTGACTTATACTTTACGAAGGGTGAAAAGGGTCTGGGGAGTCAGTTCATTTACTGAAAGGTTCCTAGACTCTGATCTGCTCTTGTAGCTGCAGTACTTGCATGACTAGGTCAGTTCAGTTTCAGGCCAATGGTAGGACCCAGGATGTTGATAGGGAGGAAGTCAGTGATGGTAATACTATTGAATATCGAGGAGTAATGGTTAGATTCTCTGTTCAGGGTCAGTGCTTGGCATTAGCGTGGTGTGAATGTTACTTGCCACCTGTCAGCGCAAACCTGGATATTTGTCTTGATCTTGTTGCATTTGAACATGGACTGCTTCATTATTTGAGGAGTCACGAATGTGCAGTCATCAGTGAACATCCCCACTTTTGACCTTGTGGAAGGAAGGTTATTGAAGCAGCTGAAAATATCTGAGCCAAGGATACTGCGCTGAGGAACTTCTGGAAAGATGTTCTGGAGCTAAGATGACTGACTTCCAAATATCACAACCATCTTCCTTTTGTGCCAGGTAGGATTCCAACCAGCAGAAAACTTTCCCCTGATTCTGATTCCAGTTTGTGAGAGTCCTTTGATGCCATACTCAGTCTAATGCAGCTTTAACGTCAAGGGCAGTCACTCACTTCATGTCTGGAATTTGGCTCTTGTGGCCATGTTTGGACCAAAGTTGTAATGAGGGCAAATGATCAGTGGCCTTGGCAGCACCTGAGCTGAGATTCAATGAACAGGTTATTGCTAAGCAAGTGCTGCTTGATAGCAGTGATGACATCTTGCATCTGGTGATTGAGAGTGGACTGATGGGGTGGTAATTGGGCAGGTTGTATTTTTCCTGCTTTTTGACTGCAGGAGCATTTCTCCATCTGAACAGGTAGATGTCAGTGTTATAGTTGTACTGGAACAACCTGGCAAAAATTGCAGAAAGTACTGAAGCACTCATCTTCCATGTTATTGTCAGGACCTTTGCAGTATCTGGTGCCTTCAACTGTTTGTTGATGC